GAGCCTTGTACACCAATCTTCATAGCAGCATTATTACCATCGCAAGGACATGGAAACAGCTTAGATGGCCAACCACAATCAAATGGATTAAGAAATTATGGTGCATTCATACAATGAAATACTACATGGCATACAGGAGCAATGATTTTTTAAATTATTATCTAGCTTGGGAGGGACTGAAAAACATTATGCTTAGTGAACTGACACAGTCCCACAAGGAAAAATATTGTATAAAACCATTATTGTAGAATAAGTAAGAGGATCCAAGGGAGCAGGAAGGTAGAAGCAGAGAGTTGATGATGTACAGAGAATGGGGGGGGGGGGGGCCGGGACGTGTGAATTAATCATGGGGTTGTACAATTTGATGGGAATGGTGAGGGAAATTGGAATAATCTGGTCTGTAAAACAATGTATTTGAATTTTGTAAATAAACTAGTAAAAAATTGTTTTTCAAAAATGAGGAGAAAACAAAGAGTATGATGTGCCGGACACAAGCCCTGGCATTTTCAATTACTTCCTGTGTATCTGAAAAGTGAGCAATGAGGGTAAGGGGAAAATAATTACTGTTTTTGAATTGTGGTATTGGAGAAGAGTACTAAATATCCCAGGGATTTGGAAAACAAAGGAATCTATTTTGAAGGAAGTGAAACTAGAGCGCTGCTTAGAAGCAAGGATGATGAAACTTTGTCTCATATATTTTGTGCATGTTGTCATGAGGGATAAGTCCATAGAAAAAGACATTATCCTGGGAAAAATAGGAGGTTAGAAGGAAAGGAGAAGACCTTCAACAAGATGCATGTGCATGGGCACAGTAACTGCACAACAGGCTCAATCATATCTGAGATACTGAAGGTGGTGCAGGATGGGGCAAGGCTCAGATCTGTATTTCCTAGGGTCACTATGAATTGTATTTAACATAGTGACATGTAAGAGCAACAGTAGGTGAGACAAAATAATATAAGTAAGTTGCATTTCATGGTAATAAAGACATTTGTCTTAATTTTCTAAAACAAAATCTCTACTTGCAGCACAGTTTCATGCCATGAGGCAAGAAACTTTTGACTTCTTGACTACTGCCAAAATAGTTGTTAATTGTAAATAGAAGCCAAATTAAATCATTCAGAGCTTCAATGTTTTCTTCATCTCTCACGATGTTGAGATATAACCAATCCCTACTGAAGGCTGTAGTGTTACTCTTCTTCAGCAAATGCTTTAAGTCATCTGCTCTTTTGTATAACAAGGGTGTGTCATCTGCATAACATTATTTGATGAATCATCCTCCAAACCTGATACCACATTCTTTTATATATATTTCATCCTCTTTGCCAATCAGCATGCAGATTAACAAGACTAGATAGTCAGGATTACCTTTGGGTTAGTAACGGAATGCTTAACTATATTTATTCAACATTTAAAACATGCTTGATACAGCAACAATGGATGAATGAAAATCCAAAGTCTCTGTAAACATTCATTAAAATTAATAAAAAATTTTAAAAACATGCTTGATGCTTTAGAGACTAGTTTGCACACTTTATCACGACAATTCTATGAAGCAGTTATTAGTATGTGTACTTTTACACTTAAAAATCATTAAGGCACATAAACATGAAATCACTGGTCACTTAGCTAGTAGATAAGAACTGGGTGGCAATTTCAGACTGGCTGTTTCCATAGCTAAAAGACTTGAAAAGGGTCTAAGGTGCATTGGATTTAGGGATTCTAAAACCACTACCAAAAATGTAAGGAAGCCTTCCTGGAGTACTGAAGTATCTTCTGTCTTAATGTGAGTGGTGGTTACATGAGATGTGTACATACACATCACAAAGAATTCACAAAAATAAAAATTCACAAAGATGTGCCCTTGAGATTTCTTCCTCAAATTAAATTTGAAATTTAAAATTAAAATTAAAATTAAATTTAAAATTATTCTCCTCAAATTAAATTTAAAAAAATGAAAGTTTTTACATCTCCAAACATTAACCCTTTCTAGTTCCTTCACCAGATACTTTTTTTAACCAGCTACTTTTAAAATATAAATTTCTCTTTCACTGTCAAGCTACTTAATATCTTTGCATAAACTTCACTTTTTACCTCTCCCTTCCAATAAGCAAAATAATCTGATATTCTGAAATAGTCTATGTGCAATATTTAAATATAATTAGAATTGACAGCTTTATCAGTTAAAACTAAAGTTTAGTGAGTTAACAGAGGTGTTTTTCCCCCTTATACCTTCCCCTATTCCTGCTCTTGCCACGCCACTGCCCCCAACACCCCAACACAGACACACACAGACACACACGCGCACACACACACACACACACACACACACACACACACACACACACATTTTAGGCCGACATTATCTTATTCCTGAGCAATTATCTGTATTTGTTAAACTTTGGTGGATATTCCCAGATAGTTTTTCCTAATGGTCACAGGGCTATATTCAAAGGTCAAAGCTTCCTGAAGCCAGGGTAGGAAAAGGTGAGTAACAGTCTTGTGACTCAAAGTCACCATTCTGGTTGAAGGAAGTTCCCACTAGGAGACCTTAGAATTGTGCAAGAATCAGATTTCAATCCTTAGCTATTAAAAGCCTTTAGTTAATGTAAGAAGTTCTTAGTTCCAAATTGAATTGCTAGTCAGAAATTACACTTGGTTTTCTTTCCTTTGAGAGTTCTTGCAATTCTCCAATCTTATGAATGTGTTTTGGTCACTGGGGTGGATTTGATACTGTATTAGATCAGTGTCTCTCTCAAATTTTAGGGTGCACAGGAATTACAGACTTTTAAAAAGCAAGTTACTAGAACCCAACCCCCACCTTAAAATTCTGATTCTGTAGACTTGGGTCGGGGTGGAGGGTGGGCTCCACCCAGCCCATAATTTGCATTTCTAAGGAATTACCATGAAATGCTAATGATGCTGGTAATGGGACAAGCTTCCAGTAGTTCTGCACTAGGTTGGAGGAAGTAGTAACTTGGCGGGTCCTTGAGAATTTGAACACAAAAGGAAGAAATGAAATTGGCAACAGTTGTGGGAGAGATCAGCCCTGTGAGCCAAGAGAACAAAGAGGAGCAGTGCTGTGGAAGGTCATCTGAACTGTGCCTTGACAGATATTTTCATTATAACCAAGCAAACAGCAATCTGCCAGAGCTTAAAAGACAAGAAGGGAGCTGACAAGGAAGGGTTCTCTCTAGCATGCTATGGAGCCTAACCTCACTTAGATGAGATTTTAAGCATAAGGAATTTTTAAAAAACCAGTGCCATCAAATTGCTTGAAACTTAAAATGACTGTCCATTTTCAAGATAATGTGACTAAAAAAAGAAATAAAAAGATGTGACTGCCCATTTTTCCACTGCAGTTATTGGTAGATTAAAACAGCTGGTCTTTTGGTTAGCATTTAACCTACTATTTAACCACTGTTAAGCAAAGGAGTAATGTGGTTGAATTTGAGCACACCTTTTTTTTTTTCCTTTCTTTTTTTTAAATTGAGGTGTTTTGGGTTTTTTAAAAAATTTTAATTTATTTTATTTTTATTGTTTTGTGTGTGTACCATCAAATCAGATCTGACTGGTACAGGAGGAGATTTTTCCTCCTCCTCCAGCAGAGCATCTGGTGGATTCGAACCGCATACTTCTAGGATTGCAGTGCAGCTTCTTGCCACTAGGCCACAAGAGCTTGCCTAATTGAGGGTTTTTTAAAAAATTTTTATTATTAATTTCAATGAAAATTTACAGAGACTTTGGATTTCCATTCATTTATTGTTGCATTCCCTC